ATTTCTTGCTGAATACATTGTTGAAAATAAGATTACCGATTTTTGAAGTAACTTTGGAACTTGATTCTTGCGCACTTCACCTGTGCTAAAGCAATTTCTCTAAAGACCAGAAAGAAACTCACATGTGACAGTGGCAAACACAAACCTCTTTTTTTACTTTTGCTACGCTTTTTTCGGAATTAATAAGACTAGAAAAAGTTCGAATTGAAAAACCAAATTTACAAATTTTTCATTTTTTTTTCGCACCCCGCATAATTTTCTTAGTTGTCTTGATTGAAGCTCTGAAACTGGGTAATCCTGAATTTGGTCGAAAGTAAAAATGTCGAAGGTAAAATGTCGAAAGTAAAAACGTCGATAATTTAAAATATCGAAAAAGAAACTCTACAACTATAAAAAGAAAGATGTCAAGGAAAGAATGTTTGGGAAGATTGTAGATAAAGATGTCATTATTTCATGATGAATATTGGCTTATAATCAGCATGCAAAACTACGTCGGATGACATGTCATTGAGCTTCGTTTGATGACTTTCATTTTGGTCGCTCAACTATCATAGCGTTCTGTGGATCACAGTATGTACATGATATGTACATGCTGAAAAATGAAAGTCATCAAATGAAGCTTAACGACATGTCATCTGACGTAGTTTTGCATGCTGATTCCGAATATGCACTCTGTTCAGTAATTTGACTCCAAAGAAGGGTAAAAAAATCGCCAAAACCGTTGAAAATACTACTTTTGGACTCTAGGAGAAATGCCTGTAACTTCCTAACGGTAAAAGCTAGAAAGCTGGGGTTGGTATCAAATAATAGATAATCGTCAGTTTTATTAAATCTATGTCAAAAAAACTCAATGTCAAAGTGGGTGATGATGCTTATGCAAGTTGCTGCGAATTTTGCAGGTAGGTGACCTCAAATTTTGGGACCGTGCCGTTTTGTTCATATTTCCATATAAAGTTACTGTCATTTTATTCAAAACTGAAAACCGCAGATCTCTAGCTGTTTCCTATCCGAAGTTATTCAATCTACAACCGATTGCACTGTTCATTAAAATGGATATTAGTATTCAAGATTTACGAACAGCTCAGTGATCATAAAATAAGAAAGATTAAAACATACATGCGAACAAAAAGACAGTAAATCCTAGAACCACAGTAAACATAACCATTGTTTTTACAATCTTTCATCTGCATAATCAGTGTTACTAAAGTTGTTCTCTTATTTGTTTTCTTAGAGAACATGTGTAATGGTTTTGCAAGTAAAAGTGACTGGAACATACCAGATAATAATATATTACCTTCTCCTACACAACAACCTGATTATGCTAGCTGTTGCTCAAAATGTCAAGCAACTTCTGGATGTACTGCTTTTACGTATTCGCCATCAAGAAATGAATGTTCGCTGAAAACAAGTATGGGCACTGGTGGACACTCAACTGCGGACAGCATTACTGGATATAATCGTGAGTGTATCGATTCTCTGCTAGGAAGTGTCGGGTAGTGAGGAGAAAACCTCATGAAACGAAACTAGCTCTTCGAAGTTTACCTGATGATTCGAAAAGCATTTGAGAGAAAACTAAAGACTGAGCAAGTATCTTGTGATACGTTTTCTGACGGCAAGTTAGCATAAGAAATGTGGAAAAATTTGCCATTATTAATGTAAGATATTCTCTGTGACTAAAATGGAGAGTCTAAAAGATGAACGTCTGTGTGTTTGCCATGTTTGTAGTATTTCTTTAAGAATGTATTTCTTCTCGCATATAATCAAGATGAGGAACTTTCACCGGCAGGCCACGCTGCACTAAAAGTGCCTTACAGAATTATAAAGTCTCATTTTACTATATCATAGCTAGTAAGCTATCGTGGAAAGTTAAACAAGCTTATATAGCTTTTCTACTCTATAAAGCTTCATGCAAAAATAATAAAGATTTTCCAGGTGGAGAAGATTTCGTAGTATATCCAGGGAACGTATCATAGTAGATAGATTTCTTACCAGACTTAATTTTTTATTGTCTATACTATGTTTTAAAACGGCAGATGTTCAACAATGTCCTATTCAGATGATCTAATGTTGCTTTTCTTTTTAGCTACCTACCTTCACTCTAAAACCTATTTTAAATATTTAATTATTAGTCTCTGATTAACGACTTTCTTAGACGAAGTTTGTTACTTGGTCGATAGCAATCGCTTCACTTTATGCAAAAATCACAGCTCTCTATGCGCACAGCCCTTGAAAAGTTTTACATTTTGTAGAATGAACCATAATATTATACAGGACGATTATTGAACGTAAATGAACTAACATCAACCTCAAGTAGCTTTACTTAATAAGTGATATAATTTTAAAAAGAGTGACTGATATCATTGGATTCGATAACATCAACGCTTAGTGGATCTCTTAACTGTTTATACGGTCCTCCTCACATGACTGATTTTGGGTAATGTACATTGAATTTTCATGATGTGTGTTTAGAATATTCTGATAAAATTTTACTAAAAAAACTTTTGAGTGTCTATCATAAGCTTTTCAGAAGAAATGCATCAACTGAAGATTAAGAGTGGTTCATTTAGTCTTTGCGAATGATCCCTTGCTCTTCATTATACCTATTGCAGTTTTCTGTTCGATAGAGCCTGCTCAAATGTAGGGTGTGGACAAGGAGGGGAGTGTCGTAGTGGGTGTGAGAGAATAAAAGAGTGATCAACAGTTACACCCATACCCGACTTACCCACGATCTGGAGCCCATATTCTACGGTTTCTTCCATTGTAAAGCCCATGAATATCAAATCATTTCTCATCACAAAACAGGAGTTTTCTAGATGATGAGTTTCTTGTGGTCCTTCTTGGTCAAATTTCAAATGACAATTCGTAAATTTAGTAGCAGCACGTTTGATGCCTGATGTCTAACCTTGACCATCTTTAACTAAACGTCGCATTGTTCTTCTTGGCATCTTCGTTATGGCTGGAAGAGGAATAGCTCTTAATTGTTTCATTAATCTTTTGGTTCATTGTGATACTTTTCGACTAGTTAAACCGTCATCATGTAGTTGCAGTGCAATCTTACGGTCATCTTCACTTTGCATAACTTTTGAAATAATGTATATATATCTGAAACACATATAGTTTAAAAAAGCAAAAGATTCTCTATCGAACGCGCCTAGAATGAAGTCTCTAGCATAATGGTAGTCTCCTGCACAGAGACAACATTTTGGTCTGATTATTATGCACCACGAATTACAATACATAGAAGCGAGCACCAGGAATTATTTTCAGAGACGAAACGAGCTATTTTTGAATTTTATCTGATGCTTGTCTGCCAAAAGTTTCTTAACATATAGCTAAATAATAGTACCAAGACTTGCTCATAGCAGCCTTGAGATGTCCTGCAGAGTTGGTTTGATTTCGAATATTTATCGTGCAATACCAACAAGCAGAGAAAGGCGCGTTTATATTAGGTGTAATTTATTTCTATTAATACGCTGATTACTTTGTCTTAAGAGTATCAGGAAGCGGGTGTGATAAGAGTTATATTGTATTACTTTATATTTTGTTAGGTTGAAGAATGTCTGATTTCTACAAAATAGCTATATTCTGATAAAATTTGACTAAAAATTGTGATGACTAGAGAGATCCAATTTGCTATATGAATTTCAAAACCTCCGAGTTATGTTTTGAGAGATCCAGTAACCCAAGCTCTGATGCTGCTACTAGATTTAAAATTTTGATCTTCAATAGATGGACCTTTTCTGAAAGAGAAAACTTCAGTGAAACCATATTATCTTAACGCAAATCTATTTATTATCGCTGCCAATAATGCTGCAGCAGAATAAAGACAATCTTACTATTGTTTCAACCAATAAGTGACCTATTCTCCATTCATACTGCTGTACAGTGTGATGCCAGCGATTTAGGTTGTAAGTTCTAAAATAATTGAGTTATTCGTCTTTGGTTAACCTTAGAGATTCTATGAACGATGTCTCTCTTTCAAAGTAGTCTCGTTATTTCAAACCGCGACAATTAATAGATATGAGTACATATCCATCAATTAATGCGAATAGATTACAAGGAAAGATTCAGAGAAAAACTATAGAAAAATGGTTGCCATAACGAGTTCGAAAAACGTCTGGGATTACCATATGGGATTCAGATACACATCAATAAATGATTGTTAAGGGTTAGATATACCTTAGGAGGATAAGTTCAGATGTTATAATGGGCAGTCTATCAATCCAGATGGTCATATTGATATAGAAACAGAATCAATCTTGTAGTATTGGAAATCGTACAAAATTTCTAGTGCGAAACCTTTTGTAAACCGATGTCATTATGGTCTTGTGCTGAACCCGATTTCTACGAATCTTTGAAGAGATTCCGATATCGTAACTGAAGTCTGAAGCATTTCTAAGCGCTCCGCGGTACCTGATTTTCACAGTCATGGAAAACGAAAAACTGCTTTATATGTAGATTGCTCATTTTCTCTCCGTCTTTCTAGAAACGTCATACGAGAAAACCAATCAGGTGCTTCTCGTTCTTTTTTCCCACAAACTATCGGTAGCCGAGAAGATGAAATATTTTCCTTTCTGAATTATGAAATAAAGTGGAACTTGCTAGAAATGAGGAACAAAACGGGAGGACAAAAAATGAGAAAAACAAAGTAGGAAATGAAAATATTCTGGCTGCATTTGCACTTGCCTCTCACATTAAGTAAAGTCTCCTTCCTCAACTTTTATTACAGAACAGCAGAAACTTAAATGCTACTTAACTTCAAATATTTAGAATACAACGCAATAAGTCGACATAAAGGATGTAAGCTCTCACTTTCTTTGTCACTCACAAAGATTTACCAGTATTTAGAATTTATGAGTAGCTCCAATGACGACGGAATAGGAGAGATGAAAGTACGCATTCGAGCAAGAATACATTGAATATAGTTATTCTTTCCAATCGTTTATCTGCATAAAAAGTGCTGTTAACATTATTCTTTTATTTGTTTTCTCGCAGTGAATATGTGTGATGGTTTCATACGTAAAGATAACTGGGATATACCTGGAAATGACATATTATCTTCTCCTGTACATCAACCTGATTATGCTAGCTGTTGCTTCCTATGTCAAGCAACTTATGGATGTTCTGCTTTTTCATATTCGGTATCAAGTCAACAATGTTCACTGAAAGCAAGAATGGGGAGTGCTGGAAATTCAACTGATGGGAAAATTACTGGATATAATCGTGAGTGTATCAGATCTTTGTTAGGATGTACCGCGATATGAGCAGCAAATTTTAATAGAAGAGATGAGCTCCTCAACGTGTACTTCGTGATTCGAAATAACGTTTGAAAGACTTCTAAAGTCTGTACTAGTTTCTTACTATAAATGAGAGTTTTGAATAAATAAAGCAACATATAGATAGTTTGTAATGAAAAATTTAATTGAAATCAGGGAATTTTCGATCTTTATACAATCATTTTCAACTGAGATACCTCGAGCACTTGAAAACAGATGTTAAAAATATTCACATACATTTATATAAAGGGTGCCCCGTAGGTACTAGAACCTCGACGAAAATTAGTTTATATATATATGGGCGTGCTGTTTTTAAATAGTTGTACCCCTTTTGAATAGTTGTATGTTTAATTAAAAAGTATCTCTTTTGAGAATATCTATGATTTTTTTAAATAGCTATATATTTAATTAATAAGTATCCCTTTTGAGAAGCTACGGTCTTAAGTACTCGAAACTCATATAGATATAATTGGGTATAGATCACTCTTTGTTTATATATAAACGAATTTTCGTCGAGGCTCCAGTACTTATGGAACATTCTTTATAAGTTATGATTAATTTTCAAAACTTTAAGTAACAATTTACTTTTTATTTTAAGAGAAAACTGCAATTTGTAGATAACATAAGCTTTTTATGAGAAAACTTGTTCGAATGCCGTGGACAAACTGAAATTCATAGTAACTCGCAATGTTTGAGGAATGACAATGGCTTTGATCGTAACTAAGAAGAATTTCAGTCAAAGTCAAAGTGAAGTTTCAAAGAAATTTCATTGTAAGTGCGAAGTGAACAAATGGGAAGAGGGATGACAGTCAAGACGAGATGCTTACTAACCTCATATCTTAAGACCATCGGTTTCACAACATTATTTCTGTTTACTTTTGATTTTTGCGCACACATGCACTGGCTCCTCGATTGATTGATTTGTGTTCATTGGATTTTCAATTCCATATTATGATGCATATTTGGTCACACGTTCAAGTTTAAAGGAACAAGCTCATCACATTCATAATAATAATTATATCTAGAGAACTTTAGTATCTACAATTAGTTAAAAAGAAAAAGAAAAACAGTAGTTCACCGCGCTCTCTATATTATAGCACATTGAGCAGAAGTTATGAAGTCGAATATTTAGGAATCTCTATAAATCCTAGATAGTGAAAAGTAGAACTTAAGGTATGGACTTCATAAATATAAGTATCAAAAAATTTTTCAAGAATTCAAACGAAAATTCGAAACTTTTATTTAAATATTTTCAAGTATTTCATCTTATAACATGAGTCCTCTTAAACTCAATCTAAATGTTTCCCATTTTTATCTAAGAAACTCTCGAGGCTTAAAATTCTTGCCCATTCTGATGATTCCAATCAAGAAATCTATTAAAATGGAATATGATAGTTGTTGAATTTTGATCTGATGCTTATAAATGAGAAGACAGATTTCGGAATGCAATGCAGGCATTAGGCAGAAAAACTCCATACTCCCGCTTACTTGTCACTCACAAAGATTTACTAGTATTTAGGATTTATGAGTAGCTCCAATGACGACGGAATAGGAAAGATGAAAGCACACATTCGAGCAAGAACACATTGAATATAGTTACTTTTTCCAATCTTTCGTCTGCATAAAAAGTGCTGTTAATATTATTCTTTTAATATGTTTTCTCACAGCAAATATGTGCGGTAGTTTCATACGTAAAGATAACTGGGATATACCTGGAAATGACATATTATCTTCTCCTGTACATCAACCTGATTATGCTAGCTGTTGCTCACAATGTCAAGCAACTAATGGATGTATTGCTTTTTCGTATTCGCCATCAAGTCAACAATGTTCACTGAAAACAAGTATTGGTGGTGGTCGAAATTCAACTGACGATAATATTATTGGTTACTATTGTAAGTGAATTAATTTACGTTCAGATTTTGACATATTGATCATGTGGGAAAAGAGGTATGAGTTGTGAGGTTGCGTGTGTGGTCGTGTATGTGAATGTAGTTGTATGGTATGGGTATGGGTATACGGGTGGATGTGTAGTGTGGGATACAAATGAGAGTATAGGTAGATTTGTGATTTAGAGGTGAAAGAGATGTATTGGTGTGTTTTGAACAGAAAAGAGACCCACACACACCTCTATCACATATCAGAGAACGTTATGCAAGATAAAATTGATTATAATTAACGATATATAGTACACTGTTAGATGTTAGATTGAACAATTTATAGGTTTTAAAGATGCAACATGATTTCAATATCAATTTTGAAAAAAATCATGAATGATAACGATGATTGGCACAAAAATAATAGAAGTTAATTAAAGTTAATTCTGTAATGTTTTTTTTAGACATTTTTACCATAAATGGATGAAACAGCATTTTAAACCGTGTAGACAAGATTCGTTTCAAAGTGAGATCGATACTCGGTCACAAAGAACACTAATTATTTAGTCTGATTTTTGAATGACTTTTTTCTACATGGATAAAAGACCTACCAGTAAAAATAAATTCATTTTAAAATTTTTTCTCCAAGTATGAAAAAGACACCTTCTATGGCTACAACCTTACACAACTATCCTAAATATTTTAAGGAATAAGTTCAATTGGTCCACTTTTTGTGGTTACACCATTAGTATTATAGTCTTTTAGAGTTGTAGTGTTTTCATCGAATATTACTGATAGTATCTATATTTTATTTTTCTATTCATTGTGGAAAACATAGTAGAGTTCTTATTGTTGTATCCTTCGGGTCAACAAATATTCGAAAGCAATGAATAGCAAGCTAACTATAAAATTAGACATGATTAATATATTTAAATTGTATAGTTACATGCAAAAAGTTCAACCTCGTTTTCGATTTTGCTTTGTCTCATTTTGTCATCAGGTCTCTACCCGTCCCGAAAAACTTGATCGAACAGAAGATGAAAAACTGAGTTCTCGTCATAGAAAGATGCGCCAACATCTCTTCTTCTTGAATATATTCGTTCGGATTACTTTTCTCTTACATATAGTAGTCCGATTATGATACATGTATTCAAGAAGTTTTAGGTCCTACTATCATGTTGTTGCTGAGAAATTATCGCAAAAACGGCTGCACAAGTCTAGCAAAGCTGAACTTTTCCTGAATAATTTGACGAGTTCTACTGAACTTATTAAATTAAAAAGTTGGAAAAAAATAGTACTAAAAGTTTCAAGTTAACATTAATTTATAAGTAAAGAATATGAAAAATACATCATCGTAATAAAAACGAAATATAAAGGCATCAGTTGAGGAGATATTAGAGCACTCTACATGAAGCTCGATGGTTTTATCCACTAGTGTAAACACCTGCAAAGTAATGTTGTTTCAACTCTGCTTTCATCATAGTTGTTTTTCGTAATTCGATGCAGATATCTATCTATGCTATGCTCCGAGAATTTTCTCTAGAAAGCTTGTAAATAAGTAGATTTCAGTAGTTCTTTTATCGTACAAATTTTGAATCGAAAACCGATTTCTAAACTTATGTAGTCTTTTTCTAACTTGTTAGTGAAACATGCTATTTCAGGCATTAATTACTTCGATTTCAAAAAAATCCACAAGAATCTTGTATATCACCTAATATTACACATTTGTAAATGTAAGAAAATATACATTTTTTATTCGGAGAAAACGTGAATATCTATGAATCTTTGAAAATATATACTTTCAGCATTAATTGCCATACTATTTTTTCCAGTTTCTTGTTTTCTGTCTTATATCATAAGATCAACAACAGTACACTTTGTTGTCTGGCTCCGAATCCACTCTATCAAAGAAATATTTTGTAAACTATCAAGAACGATCTTTCATTTTTTTGCTGAAAGAACGAAATTTCTGACGTTTCCTTCCCATTAAAATACTCTCGAAAAATTAAACTGAATTAAAATTGTTGTAGTAGAGTTAAGAAAAGGACCTTTCTTTACAATTTCTGTGAACCTCCTACGCAGCATCAGTAAACAGTCTAAGAGGGTATAACTAACTTTTCAAGATGAATCAGATGCACTACTTTTTTTCTCATATAAAACATTGTCTTAATGTAGGTGAACATAGTGCTGTTACGAACACCTAATTTTAGATAGTATGTTGAATTTATATAATCCAGTTCGTAATTGGAATATTACAAGAGACAGATTGAGACAGTATTGAATTGAAATATGATTCGGCCATTTCGCTTTACTTATCTAGTTACAAGTCCCTCTTAAAGTCTCTAACTATTTTTTAATTTTTCAGTGTTTCTGGGTATCATCAAAGTAGTATCATAGTAACTTGTACATATCTATTGAAGAAACGTATTGTGCAACTTACATACATATTTGAAGAAAACACTAACAAAGGTACTACATTAACAAGCTTTTTCAATGGCTCAATCGCTCTTGCGCTCGAAGTCTGTTCCATAATATAGACTTCATTAAGATATGAAAATTTCGAAAATGATAAAATGTTCTAAATGTCTTTTGTATAAATTTTTAGAAATTTTATTGCATTTTTAGTCTATAATATTGTGTATATGCCTAAAAACTGAATGACAGTATCTCGAGTTGAGAGTATGTCTACAGACAGATTACATATTTCTGAGTAAAATGTTTTTGCAAGTTTTCTTGCTGAGATATTAAAGTCCACAAAAACTGGAAGTTCTAGCATCTTTCCTGGGATATGAATGACTTTTGTGAACTTTAATATTTTGGAAATAAAAACATTGTGCTTCAACTGGCATTGTCATTATATTTTACTTTTAAATAAACTTGCCTATGGACATTATTTCAACTTAAAATATAATAATTCTATCTGTTAGTATACATATATTCATATATGTACCGATTATCATGATGTCATGTGCTATAAAGAAAACCAAAAAGAAACAAAAAATAAATGATTTTTTTGAGAGCACTATCCACCACTATCAAAAAAGAAAATCGATACGACCAAAAACTTGGAACGATGTTGATTTTGCAAAAATTCAACTGTACTTTTCACTTTTTCTCTCTATAGTCCCTCTCGCTTTTCTCTTAGCTCGTATTTTATCCTATCCTTTCTTTCTATTTTAGTCCATCCATTACGTGGACCTTCCACCGACATTCATCCAAATACTCAATGGCAAGAGAATGGTCTTACTGTGGCTGGAGGCAATGGACCAGGTAGTTCACTCAATCAATTGTATTATCCATGGGGTTTGTATGTTGACGATAATGAAACAATCTATGTCGCTGATTATGAGAACCATCGTATTATGAAATGGGAACGGAATGCAACGAGTGGCCAAGTGGTTGCCGGTGGGAATGGACCAGGAAATAGAAGTGATCAGTTGAATCACCCATATGATGTAATTGTCGACAAGGAGAGAGATCGTATCTTCATCTGTGATTATGTAAATAAAAGAGTCGTTCAATGGCCTCTTCTACATGGAAAAAGTGGAGAAACAATCATCTCTGACATGGATTGCTGGGGTTTGACAATGGACGAACAGGGATCTCTCTATGTCGTTGACCCTGAGAAATATAAAGTGAAACGATTTAAAATTGGTGACACTAAAGGAACACTGATTGCAGGTGGCAATGGACAAGGAAATGCTCTCAATCAATTCGATCATCCGCGCTTCATATTTGTCGATCAAGATTATTCAGCATACGTGTCTGAGTGGAAAAATCGTGTGACGAAATGGATGAATGGTGAAGAGTCAGGCATTCTCGTAGCTGGTGGTACAGAACCAGGAAATGGTCTTGGACAACTGTCACTTCCTAAAGGAGTTGTTGTTGATCATTCTTTCACTCTCTATGTGGTTGACAGTGGGAACAATCGAATCATGCGTTGGCCTAAAGGAGCCACAGAGGGAAGTATCATTATTGGTGAAAACGGTGGAGGAGGAGGATCGAACCAACTTACTGGATTCGGCGGTTTGTCATTCGATCGAGACGGAAATCTCTATGTCGTCGATAATGCCAATCATCGAGTACAAAAATTTAAAATCGAGCAAACTCAGAACGATTATTGATATTTTTCTTTTTGTTCTGTTTCTTTCACAAATAAATCGCTATTCAATAAAAAAGAATTAATGACTAATCTATTCGTATACGCGCGTAATCAGGGTGTGCAATGTGGATTTGAAGCATTACCACGAAGGTGTGAGTATGAGGATGTATCTGGTGTGGGTGTGGAATGGTGTGTTACCAATAGTATGATTCAAAGCATCATAGGACCCGTTTCGACTAGAGCTTATCCTAATCATCATCAGGTATGATTTGAATCAATTACTACATTGATATCATTTAGAAGATATATAAGTAAACCTTTATGTTGAAGATAATTTAATGGAAAACAGATCAACTTATCTCTCGACGAAAAGATAAAATCAATCTGCTAGTCTCAACTCTTCCTCTCGAGCAACCGGTCAAGTCGAAAATGCAAATATTGATTAGATTGTGCTTGAATTGGAATGAATTAATTTAAAACAAAATACAGAATTTTATTTCGTCGACGCGTTTCGTGCTATTTATTGATATATGAAAACATTCATCAGGGCATTCCATTAGAAATAAGAAAAGTACAAAGAAAATTCAACAACGTAACAAGTAAAAAGGATAATAAATTGGAAAGCAAAAACAGAATCCAATAAGCAAAGCACAATACATGATAAAAGGAGACTGTTTAAATTCGAATTGAATAAAATTAATTAAATTGAATGGAACTAATAGAAAAAGAAAAACTAGTATATTAAATAGAAACATTAAAGGGTGTGGGTGTGGGTGTGGGTCGGCTGTGGGGTGTGGGTGTGGATCTTCTCTTCCACAAAATCCACACCCACACCCACATCCACACCCACACCCACATCCGCACCTACACC